CTTTTCATTTTTATCAAAAATGTGTATTCTCTAAGAAGGCACACAGAGGTGTGTGTGCAGGTCAATGTGCAGGAGTCAGTTCTCTCTATCATGTGAGTTCTCAGGATTGAAATCAGGATGTCCACTTTGGCAGCAGGTGACTTTTTACCTGCTGTGCTGGCTAGTTTTATGTCTTGACACAAGCTGAAGTTATCTGAGAGGAGGGAACCTCAATTAAGAAAACACCTCTATAACTTTGGACGTCAGGCAAGCCTGTAGGGTATTTTCTTAATTAGTGGTTAATTGGAAGGGTCCAGTCCATTGCTAGTGGTGCCATCTCTGGGCAGGTGGGTCCTGGGCTCTATAAGAAAGCAGGCTGAGTAAGCCATGGGAAACAAACTAGTAAGCAGCACCCCCTCCCATGGCCTCTGCATTTAGCTGCTTCCATCTATGTTCCTGCACTGTTTGATATCCTGTCTTGACTTCCTTTGATGACGTACAGTGATATGGAAGTATAAGCCAAATAAACCCTTTCCTCCCCAATTTGCTTTTTGGTCATGGTGTTTTACTACAATAGAAACTCTAACAAAGACAATTGCTAAGCCATCTCACAATCCCTGACCTTCCCCCTCAACAAATATAAGCAATTAAAGCTATATATATATAGTTCCTCAAGCAGTACTCTGGATGGTCCTCAACATTTTAGTAGTCTGTATTTTCATTTTCAGTTAGTGATACTTTTCCCTGATTTCAGTGGGATCATGTTGAGTTTCTCTCCATTTAGTTTGATGTTGGCTGTTAATTTGCTATATATTGCCTTTATTATGTTTAGGTATGGTCCTTGTATCCCTGCTCTCTCCAAGACTTTTATCATTAAGGGGTGTTGAATTCTGTCAAAGGCCTTTTCAGCATTTAATGAGATGATCATGTGGCTTTTTTTTTTTCTTTCAGTTTGTTTATAATATGGTGGATTACATTGATATATTTTCATATGCTGAACCATCCCTGCATCTCTGGGATGAAGCCTACTTGATCATGGTGGATAATTTTTCTGATGTGCTCTTCAATTTGGTTTGCCAGTAGTTTATTGAGTATTTTTGCATCAATGTTAATGATAAGATTGGTCTGTAATTCTCTTTCTTAGTAATGTCTTTCTGTGGTTTGGATATCTGGGTAACTGTAGCCTCATAGAAAGTTTGGCAACGCTCCTTCTGATTCTATTGTATGGAACAATTTGATGAGTATTGGTATTAGTTTTTCTTCAAAAATCTGGGCTGAAATCATCTGGTCCTGGGAATTTTATTTGGGAGACTTTTGATGACTGTTTCTATTTCCTTAGCAGTTACTTTGCTTATTCTAACATTTAAAAAAATGTTTTACTTTAAATTATGTGTATGTGTGCATGCCTACAGACAGGAATACGAGTGCCCATGCAGGCCAGAAGAGAGCATCAGATCCCCTGGAGCTGGAGTTACCCACCTGATACAGGTCCAGATAACTGAAACATGGTTCTCCATAAGAGCAGGAAAGCACTCTTAACCACTGACTACTAGCTATGTGTATTGCTAAATTTCTCTTGATTTTTTCCTGTGGCCCACAGATTATTTAAAAACGTGAGGCTCAGGGATCCTAATAGAAGAGAGGGCAGAAAGGTTTTAGAAGTTGGAAGTGGTGGCTGATGTCAAGGAAGAGCAGTTATACACAGGAAAGCTCAGTGGCATGTGTAATATCTGTGCACGTTCAAGCCAGACAAAATCCTGGCAGTACATCCCTAGCTGAGGAGCTACTGGCAACTGAGAGCTGCTGAGAAAGAGTCAGTTTCCTTTAAGGGTGTGGCTCCTGCCAGGTCAATCACACTGCAGGACAGTTCCCATATTGACACCACAAACTAGACTCTATAAATTTTGTTTTTTTAAAAAGAGGATACAAATTTGGGTGGGGAGGAGGGGGTGAATATGATCAAAATACACTGTATGAAATTCTTAAAGAATTAATGAAAATATTACTTTTAAAAGTAAATTTACTGTTAAATTTCTAAACTAAGAATTCTTTTTCCTGGTATCTTTCCAAGACTGATTTCTAAGTTTTACTTTATGAAATAGAATATTCCATCTTGGTAAACAGTCCCATAAACATCTCTTATAACAACATAAAAAAAGACACCTTAGTTATGTGGCCTACCTTCCTAACTCAGTAATTCCAGTCTCATCTGAAAAGGCATCAAACAAATCTCAGCTGGAGAACATCCTAAGACATGTAAGTAGCACCCCTCAAAAAATGCCAAAGTCTTTTAAGCAAAGCCTTAGAAACTCTCATAGCCTAGAAGAGTTGACGATGACATGATTAATGAGTGAAATATGCCATGTGACCTAGTCTGGCTCCTGGCAAAGAGAGATGAAGTTTAAAACTAACGTGTGTGACTATGAACTTTAGTTAATAATAATTTACAATAATTGTCATTAATGTTAATAACTGTACCATAGTAGTATAAACTGTTAAATTATGTATGAGATAAAAGGGTATGTATGATTTTAGCAATCTTTCAAATGAATCAAAAGCTGTTCTAAAGAAAAAAGTTTATAAACTGCTTATTCCATTCATTTATTCCCTTTGTTCTGTTTCGTTGCATACAGTCAAGATACGGCTATTACGACTTCTTCAAGAAGACTCTAACATTTCTTGTAGAATAGTTCTGTTGGCAATAAATTCCTGTTTTCTGTTCGAAAAGGCTTTGCATTTATTTATTTATTTATTATAAAGATTTATTTATTATGTATACAATATTCTGTCTTGATGTATGCCCACATGCCAGAGGAGGGCGCCAGATCTCAGTACAGATGGCTGTGAGCCACCATGTGGTTGCTGGGAATTGAACTCAGGACCTCTGGAAGAGCAGCCAGTGCTCTTAACCTCTGAGCCATCTCTCCATCCCTGCATTTATTTTTTTTAAAACATTTTTGCTGAGTACAGAGATCTGAGTTTTTTGGGTTTATTATTGTTCATTGTTAACCAGCTTGAAGTATGGTAGTAATATCCTATCTTTGGTCTGTAAGCCATGTGTTTCTATTCACTAACTGTCTTTAAGAATTTCTCTTCGCCCTTTGCTTTTAGCAATTTGAATATGCATGTGTATATGAGTGCACATTCGCATTGAAAGTATTTATTCTACTTAATATTTGTTACCTCCTTTGAACCATTGTTTTTACTGTTCTCTTTTTTTGGAACTAAAATTCCAGACATGTTGCACTATGCTAATGTCCTACAGCTCTCAGATACTGCTTGGCTTTGGATCTTCTCCTGTCTCCTACTGCGGGCCTGCCATGGCAAAGTTTTAGTTACTTTTCTCAGGAACTAGACCGGGCTTGAAAGTTTTTGTTGCTGTGGGTACCTTCAGTATAGTTACTAAAAATGCTTCCATCCAAACCCCTCTAAAGGTGGGAGACGGGCAGGCCAGTTTCCCCAGTGACTGTCCCATTCTATCATCTTCTGTGAAGTGCCAGTCTGCCTCCTCAGTCGCCTTGTCACTCTCAAGGTACCCACTGTGTCTTCTTGCTTCTCAACCACTGGCAGAAATACTGTCCTGTCTCCATTTCCAGATACAGTAAGACCTCGTCAGTATTTACTTCATGGAAAAGAGTCAGATAAAGCCTGTCTCACTGCAGTGGCAGCTGGGTTTTTAGAAGTCTTTCCATGTTATATTTTGTTTGAGGTGGGGCACTCAGTGGGGTTCACAGTGAAAAGCCTGTAGAGACGACAACTCATCCTACACCAAGGCTTCAGTAACTTCCTGAGGTTCTGCTGGTGCATGTGCGCCCTCCAGCAATTCACTAGTCACAATAGCACCAATGTCTTATTCAACAGTAACCCTCTCTCTCTAGTCTCCAGGCCATCTGATCACTGAATTAGTAGCACTAAAATGGGCTCAAGGAAAGGGAAGCCTACTACATAGTGAAGCATTTTTTCCCCCCCGAGTCTAAAGCTGAAAGCAATTCATTTTAAATTTCCTGTTTTTCCAAATGAAAACACTTAAAAAAAATCTGAGTTTGAGATTTAAACAAATTATGACTTAAAGATCCTGGGTATGTGCACTGTTATTTTGGACAAGTGGTAAATTTTAGTTCCATTTTCTCATCTCTATCTAGCCATGATCATAATCTGATTGAAAATCAAATGAGAAAATAACCCAAACAAATTACTAATGCATTGAATCTATGAAAAATTACACAAATGAGGAATCACTACCTGAGCCTGGTAGCATCACTTCCAGTTAACAAAAACACAAATGGTACAGTAGAAGGCACACCTGGCATATCATTTAGTATGCTAATAGTCAAACTGCTGATGAACTAAAAATGTCTTTAAAACTTGCATATATATTCTAAGATTTTCTATAAGAAGCTAAGGAAGATACACCCTCTGTTCTTCACAGGAAAAGACAATCCAAAAGCAAATGGCACCAGAACCGTAAAGACAACTGCCAAGAGGTGCAATAGGGAGCATTGTTCTCTGGTGAATGAGAAGGGTCATTTGAACGAAATAAACAGAAAATTATTTAGAGAATAATCCTCTCCAGTTCGCAAACATCTTCCCTAGATATTCTACAATAGTTCTCTTTCGTATACAGAATTTCCTAACAAACAATTTCATTATGGCTCACAAAAAAAGCATGTAATATATTACTGAAAGTATGCCAAGTAGAGAACAGAAATGACATGTTTAATTCATAAACTGGAATCAGATCTCTAAATAAAGTTTTAGCCTGGCAAAATTAAAATTGAGCGTAATTAACCTCTGCATATTCAGCTTTTATTTTAAATACCATTAAGCAGTTTTACTCCTTATTTCTGTAATTTGGATTTTAAACACTTAAAATAGATTTCTCTCTTAAAATTCTAATTTTGAATAGAAAATTCATTAAGAAAACCAAATACACACTATGGAGGCTGAGCAAACCTCAAAGAAAGATACAGCCTATAGTAAACTGTGTTTAAAGAAGAGAGCCAAAGAGTGGGTCAACTTACAAGTGGAGGCATCATGCCCTTGCTTGAAGGGGGAATGACAACCCGTAGATCTGGTTTCCGACTATTCATTCCAAGATTGCCACCACCAGGTGGAGGGGGAGACTTTGTAGGCATAATTTTGCCTAAACTATTTGCACCAGTATTTCCAATCAAATTTGGAGAGGCCCTTGAGTTTACAAATCCATTCCCTAGGAAAGGGGAAAAAAAGTGCTTATTAACATGTAAAGCATCACTAAAATATTTAATTAATAAATCTAAAATAATGCTAACTGCCCATTTATAAATCTATTTTAAAAATGATTAGTTTTATAAACAAAATATAAGAATTTTGTTTATGACATATAAAGTTTACCATTTATAATAAAACACAAAGCCATTATTATACTATTATGCTGACAAAAACTCATCTAGTATTTATATTTTACATTTTTCTACATTGTTTTTGTATTTGTACTTTAAAATCTTAGAGGGGAGAGCAGCAAGATGGCACTCAGTGGGCAAAGTCACTTGCTACCAAGCGTTATGTTTGATCTGCAGGACCCACGAGGTAGAGAGAACTGACTCCTATAAGTTGTCCTCTGACCGTCACATGTGCACCTAATCTCATGCATGACCCTCACTAATAAATAAATAAAAGTAAGAATAAAAAGAATACTTTAAAACATAATGTTTTGTTTTGTATGTATACTTTTGTATTTTATTCTTGGAAAAGGCTCTTAGTCTACCCTTTTCTCTGAACCTGTACACAGTAGTACTTTACTGCTTTTCATACTGCTAACCCCAAATTTTCCCTCACTCCTTAACACTGAAAGCTCTAAAAAAAAAAAAAAATCCAACAACAAAAAAGCAAATATCCTAACAATAAACTACCTTCTCTTCAACGTGGCACTCATTCCCACCTTACAGTGGGGAAACCGGTGAAGGGCAGTGTCTTCTGCAGCTGACACTGGGACTGCTGTCCTACCTTCATAGTTGCGACTGCAATTAGCTTTCCCGACATTTACCCAAGTAAAGACAACAGAACAAGAGGACTCACAAACAGAATCAGTGAGAAAAAAGGGAGATAAACCACAAAGCAGAACACAAATTCTAACAGATGCTTAAAACACAACAAAGAAGATAAAAAAAAAAAAATTAAGGCAGTGCCTCAAACAAGGCAGCTTTTCAGGACTGGAGAAAAGATGATGAGACAGCTGAGCTTTGAGAAGATCTGAGTCCTACCTTACAAAATGTGTCAATGACCACAGAATCAAATAAACAATACGGAACTCAATTCAAGAAAAGAAAGTTACAAACTCAATTGAAGACTCATACAAGAAAGTTAACCAGTGTGGACTGAAGAAATCAGTCACTGGGAGGAAAACCTTTAAGACGTGAATGAAAAATTCAGTAAGGAAATTGAGAAGCTGAAAAAGAACGAACTAGAAATTCTGGAAATTAAAGGACCAATCAATCAAATCAAGTCAAATCAAAAGCAGAAAGTATCCACAAACAAGATGAATCAAGAAAGCAATTTCGGGGATGAAAGACTAGGTTAAGACAGTAACACATACAGATAAATGCAAAGAAAATAAAATTTCCAAGAAACCAAATCTAAGAATCCATAATAAAGGAAAAGGAACTAAGATAATGGTTTATATAAGGAAATAAGTTAATGGCTCAGACAACCTATTCACTGAAATTGTATCTGAAAATATCCCAAACCAACAGAAAGAAATAGACTTCCAACAAAGGAAGTACTAAGACATGATCATATAGACATATAGGTCAAAGAGACATGACCAGAGAACCCATGATACATCTGAGCCAAGATGCCAAAAATACAAAGGGTTTTCAAGATGGATATGTGGGTAAAGAACTTTGCCATAAACTCTGACAATCTGAATGAGTTCAATCCCTAAGACCCACACGGTGAAAGGAAAACTGACTCCAGCAGATTGTCTTTCAACCTCCACACACATTGTAGAGGCATATGCATATACCCCCACACATATACACAAATAACTAAATAAAACAAAAAAATATAAGCAAAGAAACAATACTCAAAGCTACAAGGCAGAGTCAATGAGATGTCTCAGTAGATAGATGTGATTGAGTGCAGGCAGGACAACCCATCTTTGATCTTTGGAAAAAACTAGCTCCTAAAAGTTGTTCTCTGATCTTGAAGCATATGCCATGGTACCTGTACACACACACACACACACACACACACACCAAACAAAAAGTTGTGAGGGAAAAATGCAACGTTACAGAAGCAGAAATATTAAAGTCAGGAAAACAAAGAATAGTAGATTTTAAGAACTAAAAGTAAAAAACTAATGAAACCATTATTGTCAAATCCAGAAAAATAACCTGTTAAAATTGATAGAGAACCAAGAGTATTTCAAAACAAGTATCAGTTAAAGCAGTCTGTGACAATTAAGCCAGCAATGCAGGAAATGCTTAAGGGAATACTAAACACAAAGAAGTTAAACGGTTTACTCACAACACAGGAAAGAGTACATTTCATGAGCGCAAACAAAGGATTAACAAAGTCTAAAAGAGACAGAATTAATAAAGTTCCAAACCAGCAAACACTCAATATTACTGTGAAAACAAACAAACAACAAATGAACAATGAAAACCAACCCGAACTGCCAACAAAAATCAATGGCAATAGCAAAATCTTCTCAATAACCTGAAATCACCATTTAAAGACAGAGCTAACCAACTGTGTTTAAAATGAGGTTTACTTGTTGCCTTCAAGAAACTCATGTAATTAAAAGAGATCTAACACCTAAGAGTTTGTCCAAGGTTGAAATCAACCTACCAAGCAACAAAAAGCTGCCAAAAAGCTGACCTATGGATCCTCACATCTGATTATGAAGACTTGGAACCAAACCGTTAGAAGGTAAGAGAGTCCCTTATATATTAACAAAAGAAGCAATTCTTCAACAGGGCAGAACTCTTGTAAATATTTACACAACAAATCTGAAGCCTCTAAGGTTTTGGATCTTTTCTAGTTAGGTTGAGTTTCTTACAGACAACTGAGTAGATAGACCTCACTTTAAAGCATGGCTGGTTAGTCTGTATCTTTAAATGATGAATTAGTAATTTGCATCAGGTAATAATTGAGAGGGGTTTGCTATTATCACTGATTGTTGGCAGTTGTTCTGGTTAGTTTTCGTTGACCCTTTTCTAAAATAAGCATTAAAGGGCACAAAAACCACATAAGGTCCTGACACAGTATAGCAGGGGATTTTATTACCCACTCTCACACACAAGCCAGTCTAAAAGGAAAATCAGCAAAAACTCTTCACACTTAAACTATATGCAATAAATCGACTGGTCCTAATAGTTTTCTCCAGAGCATTAAGAGAGAGAAGACATAGCTTCCCAGCAGCACATGGAACCACTCCTAAAACTGATAACATTCCAGACAAGGGAAGCTTTAATAAACACAAAAACCCTGAAATGATTCCCTGCATCTTATCATATCACAGTGAACTGAAACAAGAAAATAGTAAGATTAAGCTCAGAAAATACATAAGTACTTGGAGACTGAACTATACCTTTTTAATGAAACAAATCTCATCTTAAAAAAATCAGGGAGGAAGTGGTGTAAAACTCTCAGAATCAAATGAATGCCAAAGCACAACCCACAAGAATCCCCGGGATCCAGCCAGAGCAGTCCTATGAGGAAAAGTGTTCAGATGAAGAAAACCAGAAGGAGCTCCAGTAAACAACCTAATGTACCTCAAAGCTCTACGAAGACAAGGTACATCTGATGAAGAACTTCCACGTTCCTGGACTAGCAGAATTAACATTGTAAAATGGCTATAACTACCAAAATTAACCCTCACGGTCACTGCAATTCTCAGCAAAATTCCAAAAGCATTATTCACAGAGCTAGAAGAATAATCTAAAATTCATGAAGAAACACAAAGACCACAGATAGCCAAAGCAATCTTAGGCAGAAAGCACACAGTCAAATATATCTCATTATTGCAGCTACTACAAAGCCAAAGTGACGAATACAACATGGAACTGGCACAAAAAGACATACAGATCAACAGAATACAATATAGAACCTGGAAATAAATTCACACAGCTATAGACACCTAGCTGCCGACACACACACACCGACACACACACACCGGCACACATACACAAATTAAATCTTAAAAGAAACAAAAGCAAGCCAGGTATGATGGTACATGACTGCAACCCCAGTGTAGTGGTGGTGGTGGCAGTAGTGTGAAGTGCGAGTTATACCTGTCTGGCTGGACTGTGTGCACCAGGTTTAGTGAGACCCTGCCTCCAAAAATAAGACGGAGAGACTCATGAAGATATCACAACATCATACTCTGTCAATATGCCAGCACGGCTGAGCACAGTAGCATACACACATGCATACTAATTTTAATACTACAGAATTTCTTGGAAAAAAAAAAAGTATGCTTCCTTAAAAATCACTTAAAATTGTTATTCTGTTTGGGAGGTTTATAAAGAAATTTCAAGTACATTAAGTAATATGTAGGTACATTAAGTAATGTAGGTACATTAAGTAATATGTAGGTACATTAAGTAATGTAGGTACATTAAGTAATATGTAGGTAAATGATAAACTGACAACTTGTGGGAGTTGGTTCTTTTCTTCAATCGCGTGAAATCTGGGATTGAACTCAGTCCACCAGATGTGGGAGCAAGAATCTTTACCTGTTGAGCTAGTTTACCAGTACTGGATTATAAAATTTAAAAAAAAAAAAAAAAGAATGATTAGGGGGCTGAAGAGAGAGCTTGGTGGTTAAGAGCACTGGGCTACTCTTCCAGAGGACCCAGGTTCAATTCCCAGCATCCACATGGCAGCTCACAACCATCTGTAACTACAGTTATAGGGGATCCAATGCCCTCTTTTGACCTGAGGATAACAGGCATATATGTGGTACATAGACATATATGTGGGTAAAATACCCATACACATAAAATAATAAAAATTTAAAAATAAATCAAATACTATGATTAGGAATACATTAAAAGTTTGTAAAATTTTAAAGAAAGCAGAGGCCTTAATATAAGTATCTGCTTACAAATATTAAGAAACACACTGTTATAAAAATGAATTATTTGTATGAGAAACTAGAAAATTAACATTTATAAATGTGACATAATCAACTCTGCAGAATCCTAGCCACTATATTCCCAAGCC